AAGGCGAGCGCTCTACCACTTGAGCTACAGCGCCACTTCCAGTTTTCTGGTGGTTTATTGGAGATAGGAGTCTCATGGTCTCTCCTGCCCCGGCTGGCTTTGAACAGCAATCCTCAGATCTCAGCCTCCTCAGTAGCTAGGATTACAGGTGTGAACCACCAGCGTCTGGCCCATAAAACTCTTATCTCTAATAAACCACTCAAAAAACTGGAAGTGAGGGCTGGGAAGGTGGCTCAGTGGTAGAGCGCTTGCCTTGCATGCCTGAGGCCCTGGGTTCGATTCCTCAGCACCACATAAGCTAAAAGAAAAAAAAAAGCCGAAGTGGCGCTGTGGCTCAAGTGGTAGAGCGCTAGCCTTGAGCTGACAGCGCCCAGGCCCAGAGTTCAGGGCCCACGACCGGACCCAAAAAGAAAAAAAATAAAATAAACACACACACACAAAAAAAAACTGGAAGTGATGCTGTGGCTCAAGTGGTAGAGTGCTAGCCTTGAGCTGAAGAGCTGAGGGACAGTGCCCAGGCCCAGAGTTCAAGTCCCATGACTGACAAGACAAAAAACAAAAAAACCTTTTAAGTCCGGCACCATGGCTCATGCCTATAATCCTAGCTACTCAGGAGGCTGAGAACTGAGGATCATGATTCGAAACCAGCCTGGGCAGGAAAATCTATGAGACTCTTATCTCCAGCTACTCTGAAAAAGCTGGAGGTTTCACTGTGCTTCAAATGGTAGAGCCCTAGCCTTGAGCACAGAGGGTCTCAGGGACAGTGCCCAGGCCCTGAGTTCAAGCCCCAGGATTGGCAACAACAACAACCAAAAAAGGGTATTTTTATATTGCAACTCAGAAAATACATATATGCACATAGGATATATTAAAACAAAGTAATGCCAAGCACCAGTGGCTTATACCTATAACCGATCTGTCTGGAGGCAGGGCCCCTAACAAAAAGGGGTCTCTCCTCAGCCACAGGGCCAGATTTTTCCAGACCAGGGAGCCCAGAGTGACCTTAATCTTTCCAAAGACTGCAGAGAGCATTCTATCGGGAGGATCAGAATTCCCATAAGCAACAGGGTTGGCATTTTTCAGAAGGCTTTTCTGCTTGGACTAGCTTCAAACCTTAACCTCTTCAGGATATCCTCTTGAGTAGCTAGGATTAAGGCATTAACCACTAATGCCCATCTTAGTTTTTACCTCTTGGTTTCTTGCCAAAACTTTGACAAGGCATGACCTCTCTCCCCTGTGCTGGACCCTGTTCTGATGCTGTGCTACTCAGGCTACATCTTAGACTGGTGTTCAATTCCTCTCTCTCTCTCTCTCTTTTTTTGGTTGGTCATGGAGCTTGAACTCTGGGCCTGGCCAATATCCCTCAGCTCTTCAGCTCAAGGCTAGCACTCTACCACTTGAGCCACAGCACCACTTCCAGTTTTCTGGTGGTTTACTAGAGATAAGAATTTCACGGTCTTTCCTGCCCGGGCTAGCTCTGAACAACTCCTCTCTTCTATGCAGCATAGCCACTTATTGCCAAGGGCTGCCTGTTCCACTTGCCCTGCTCAGCCTATCTTCAGCCACCTGCCTAGTGGAACTAGCCACACCTGTCCCCACCTCTCCCTCCCTCAGTTCTCAGGCCATTAGTCACATCCTGTCCCTCTGCTCAGATCCTCTGGTGGCTTGTCATTGGGCTGAGTAAAAGCAGAAGTCTTTACTTCAGTCTCCCAGACCCTGCAGTCAGCTGGCTGCCCCATGGACCTCACCTCACCCTGCCTCATTCTCCCCATTCTCCCTGCCCTCCCTGGCTCCCACACTGGCTTCCAGCCTTTGAACTTGCTTTCTTTCTCCCTGGGGCTCTTGCCTAGATTTCCACTTGTTCTGCTTTCTACTACCTCAGTTCCCTCCCTAAAAAAGCCCCTTGGGCCTGGTACCCATAGCTTATGCCTGTAATCCTAGCTACTCTAAAGGCTGAGATCTGAGGATCTTGGTTCAAAGACAGCTGGGGCAGGAGAGTCTGTGAGACTCTCAAGTGGTAGAGCACTAGCCTTGAGCAAAAACACTAAGAGGTAATGCCCTGAGTTCAAACCCTAACACTAGTCCAAAAAAAAAATAGCCCCTTGGGTTCAGTGTCAGTACCTGTGGGCCCAGCCACTTGGGAGATTGAGGCAGGAGAATCACTTAAGCCCAGGAGTTCAAGGCCAGCCTTGGCAGCATAGTGACACATCTTAAATGAGCCAGGAGTTGGGGGTATAGCATGCGTGAGGCCCTAGGTTACCTCCCCAGCAACATACACACAAAAAGAAAAGCCAGCTATGACAGCAAACATACTTGGGAAGTAGAAGCAGAAGTGTTCAAGAACCTCTGGGCCACATAACTGGACCCTATCTTCAAAATTAAAAAAAAGCAAGCTCTTTCCTCTCTTTCTGACAAAACAGTGGCACAGGTACTGGTGGCTCATGCCTGTAATCCTAGCTAATTAAGAGGCTGAGCTCTGAGGGCTTTGGTTCAAAGCCAGCTGGGGCAGGAAAGTCCATGACGCTTATCTCCAATTAACCACCAGAAAACTGGAAGTGGAGGTGTGGCTTTAACTGGTAGAACACTAGCCTTGAACAAAAGAGCTCAGGTACAGTGTTCAGGCCCTGAGTTCAAGCCCTACAGCCAACAAAACAAAACACCAAGTGGCAAGGAATGACAGAGAGAAAAGCTGCTCCCCAAATTCAGAATCCTTATCTGGAACCTTCTCTCCTCACCTGTCTCTATAGGCGAGAAGCCTTACAAATGCTCTGTGTGTGAGTCTGCGTTCAACCGCAAGGACAAGCTGAAGAGACACATGCTGATCCATGAGCCCTTCAAGAAGTACAAATGCCCCTTCTCGTGAGTAGGGCCGTCACCCAGTAAGGTCACCACCTGGGAGCACTGGACCAGAGGGGGCAGCCCTGAGGGTGAAGGCCTCTCCCTTTCTCCTGTTGAGCTCTGCCTGCCTCACTCCCGCCCTGCTCCCTTCCTGGGACAAAAGCTGGTGGTGGGACTGGCTAGGGGTCCCAAGGTTGCTGAGCCCCTGAGACTGGTACTTGGGATTCCAGGACTCACACAGGCTGCAGTAAGGAGTTCAACCGGCCAGACAAGCTGAAGGCACACATCCTGTCACACTCAGGTAAGAGCGGGATGAGAGCTTCCTCTGCCGCCTGCCCTAGGACAGGCTGGCCCAGAGGAAGGGCTGAAGCCATGGCCTGCTATGTCCAGCCAATTGGCTTCGCTTGGGTGGGTTGGAGGGAAGGCCTGTGTGCTGCCCTGGCCTGACCATGAAGTGTGTTACCCAGCATGGTAGGGGGAGGGATTAGGTGAGTCCAGTCATGACTGGGCCGGTCCTTGGCAGGATATACTGGGGTTTCCCAGGCCCTTCTTTGCACACTGAGGTTCTGAGACAGATACTTCTTTGTCCCAGGGGCTGTCTTGCTCCCTGCTGGACACTTAGCAGCATTCCAGATTCTACCCTCCAGGTGTCAGCACCACCCTCCCCCTGGGGTGACAACCCAGAACACCTCTAGGCAAAGTCCCCTGTGAGGAAGGGGTAAAGTTTCCCTGTTTGAGAACCTGTGTTCTAAAGAAAACAATCAAGGGTCAGTGCAAGCTGGAAAACTAGACTTGGATTCAGGGCTTTTGATTGAGTCTTGGGGCTGCCTCATTCCTACTGGGTGACTGGGCTCAGGGGAGCCCCTGCCTCTCCTCTGAGTCCTCAATCCACGGAGGCCAAGAGGGCAAAGGCTGGTGTGAAGGAGCCTGGCAGGGTGGGGGGTGGACTGGCTTGACTGGTTCATGGAGGGACTGACCCCCATGGGCGTCAGGCAGGCCCTCCCTCCCCTGCCCTCCTGGGGAAGCTGAGCACCTAGTGAGGAAGATGGGACAGACAAAGGCTGGAGAGGACCGAGGTGGCGGTAGAGAAGGAACAGGGCTGGAATTGGGAGGCTCCCCAGAGCTCAGTGCTGAGGCGGGGGGAGAGTCCAGAGCTGGCTTCCTAGGGAGGGGAAACAGGAAGTGCTGACCTGGCCAGGGTGGATGGGAAGAAGGGAAGGCAAAGCCCAGGGGAGAAGGTGGAGAAGGGCCCAGAGGTGAAGGTGAAGACAGTAGTGGGTGGTCACGCATCTGCCTGTATCTATGGCCTGAGGGGCACAGGTGAGAGAGAGAGAGAGAGAGAGAGAGAGAGAGAGAGTGGTGGGGCAGGGGTCCAGTTCCACAAGGCTTAGGGATGGAGTGGACCCATTCAGGCAGAGGAAATGGCAGGTGTGCAGGCCAAGGGGCAGGAGTCTGCTTGGTGCAGTGGAGGAGAATAAGGGGTGGGGAGTGAGAGGCTGGGGGGCGGTGGGGAGGTCCGGGCAGGCGGGGGAAGGCAGGGCCAGCCCAGCTCAGGGCTCCTAGGGAGACTGCGGTTGTCCTCCTGGGCAGGGCACGGTGTCTCTCACGCCCCCCCCCGCCCCGCCCCGCCCCGCCCCGCGCTCCCCAGGCATGAAACTCCACAAATGCCCGCTGTGCAGCAAGTCCTTCAGCCGCCGGGCCCACCTCGCCGAGCACCAGCGCGCCCACACCGGCAACTACAAGTTCCGCTGCGCCGGCTGTGCCAAGGGCTTTTCCCGCCACAAGTACCTCAAAGACCATCGCTGCCGCCTGGGCCCCCCGAAGGACAAGGACCTGCAGAGCCGGCGGCCCCCGCGGA